TCTCTCTCTCTCTCTCTCTCTCTCTCTCTCTCTCTCACTCTCACTCTCACTCACTCTCTCTCAGCTTACCTACAGATGATAGCACACTTGCGGTGGACCTCCAGGATGGTACACTGGTTCCTCCAGTCTTCAAAGTAGATAGATCTGTCAGCAGATAGACTGACTGTGGTATGTCCTCACCTCTCTCTCTCTCTCTCTCTCTCTCACTCACTCTCTCTCACTCTCACTCACTCTCTCTCAGCTTACCTACAGATGATAGCACACTTGCGGTGGACCTCCAGGAGGGTACACAGGTTCCTCCAGTCTTCAAAGTAGATAGATCTATCAGCAGATAGACTGACTGTGGTATGTCCTCACCTCTCTCTCTCTCTCTCTCACTCTCTCTCTCTCTCTCTCTCTCACTCGCTCTCTCTCAGCTTACCTAAAGATAATAGCACACTTGCGGTGGACCTCCAGGATGGTACACTGGTTCCTCCAGTCTTCAAAGTAGATAGATCTGTCAGCAGATAGACTGACTGTGGTATGTCCTCACCTCTCTCTCTCTCTCTCTCTCTCTCTCTCTCTCTCTCTCTCTCTCTCTCTCACTCACTCTCACTCTCACTCACTCTCTCTCAGCTTACCTACAGATAATAGCACACTTGCGGTGGACCTCCAGGATGGTACACTGGTTCCTCCAGTCTTCAAAGTAGATAGATCTGTCAGCAGATAGACTGACTGTGGTATGTCCTCACCTCTCTCTCTCTCTCTCTCTCTCTCTCTCTCTCTCTCTCTCTCACTCTCTCTCACTCTCACTCACTCTCTCTCAGCTTACCTACAGATGATAGCACACTTGCGGTGGACCTCCAGGATGGTACACTGGTTCCTCCAGTCTTCAAAGTAGATAGATCTGTCAGCAGATAGACTGACTGTGGTATGTCCTCACCTCTCTCTCTCTCTCTCTCTCTCTCTCTCTCACTCTCTCTCTCACTCACTCTCTCTCAGCTTACCTACAGATGATAGCACACTTGCGGTGGACCTCCAGGATGGTACACTGGTTCCTCCAGTCTTCAAAGTAGATAGATCTGTCAGCAGATAGACTGACTGTGGTATGTCCTCACCTCTCTCTCTCTCTCTCTCTCTCTCCTCTCTCTCTCTCTCTCCTCTCTCTCTCTCTCTCTCTCTCTCTCTCTCACTCTCACTCTCACTCACTCCCTCTCAGCTTACCTACAGATGATTGCACACCTGCGGTGGACCTCCAGGATGGTACACTGGTTCCTCCAGTCTTCAAAGTAGATAGATCTATCAGCAGATAGACTGACTGTGGTATGTCCTCACCTCTCTCTCTCTCTCTCCTCACTCTCTCTCTCTCTCTCTCTCTCTCTCTCTCTCTCTCTCTCTCACTCTCACTCTCACTCACTCTCTCTCAGCTTACCTACAGATGATAGCACACCTGCGGTGGACCTCCAGGATGGTACACTGGTTCCTCCAGTCTTCAAAGTAGATAGATCTATCAGCAGATAGACTGACTGTGGTATGTCCTCACCTCTCTCTCTCTCTCTCTCTCTCTCTCTCTCTCTCTCTCTCTCTCTCTCTCTCTCTCTCTCTCTCTCTCTCTCTCTCTCTCTCTCTCTCTCTCTCTCTCTCTCTCTCTCTCTCTCACTCTCTCTCACTCACTCTCTCTCAGCTTACCTACAGATGATAGCACACTTGCGGTGGACCTCCAGGATGGTACACTGGTTCCTCCAGCCTTCACAGTCTGACATCCACACTTCGATGTCTCCTGGAAGTCAGTCAGGACAAATTGGGGGAATTTGTCACTCAGGTGAGCTGAGGTGAAGCTCTGAGTGGTTGAGTGATATGTGTTAAAGCTCTACACAGAGTGAAACATGACTTGATAAAGCTCTACACTGAGTGAAACATGACTTGATAAAGCTCTACACAGAGTGAAACATGACTTGATAAAGCTCTACACAGAGTGAAACATGACTTGATAAAGCTCTACACAGAGTGAAATATGACTTGATAAAGCTCTACACAGAGTGAAACATAACTTGATAAAGCTCTACACAGAGTGAAACATTTAGTAAAGCTCTACACAGAGTGAAACATGATAAAGCTCTACACAGAGTGAAACATAACTTGATAAAGCTCTACACAGAGTGAAACATAACTTGATAAAGCTCTACACAGAGTGAAACATTTAGTAAAGCTCTACACAGAGTGAAACATGATAAAGCTCTACACAGAGTGAAACATAACTTGATAAAGCTCTACACAGAGTGAAACATTTAGTAAAGCTCTACACAGAGTGAAACATTTAGTAAAGCTCTACACAGAGTGAAACATTTAGTAAAGCTCTACACAGATTGAAACATGATAAAGCTTTACACAGAGTGAAACATAGCTTGATAAAGCTCTACACAGAGTGAAACATTTAGTAAAGCTCTACACAGAGTGAAACATTTAGTAAAGCTCTACACAGAGTGAAACATGATAAAGCTCTACACAGAGTGAAACATTT